TTTTTAAAAAAAACTGAATACACATTTTTTTTTTCACTTTTATTGTCAAGGACTCTGCACAGTTGTTTTTATGAGTCCATCTTAAATAATACATTGAAAGGAGTTCAAACGATCTTTACTGAGAATAATTATTTGCTTAAAATGATTCCAAAACCTTTGAAAAGTTTTTTTTATTTGAGAATCAGTTGACATTAACCATTCCAGGAGGTCTTCAGCAGTGGATATACTTTTATCCAGATCTATGAACATTCCAAGTTTTTTCCCTATATTTCCTGGTTTCTTCTTATAAATAAAACTTGCAGAAGATGTTTGTCTAGTCATGATAGGAAGCTTTTAGGCCTAACTCTTTTAGAATGTTCTCGAGTGGACATTTTATAGAGAATAGGTTAAAAAAAAGACCAAAAAAACGGAGCAAAAAAGGAACAGTACCAGACTGTTTTTGCTTGCTTCAGTAGTAAAACTTGTTAGATATTTTTACACTTCTGTTTAATTGTAATTTTTATGTGTTAGGATGTCATAGAAAATCCAAACTGTAGGCAGAGCAAAAAATAAAAACATGAATGGCTTATTAAGTATAAGTTTAAAAGTAGTTCATCATTTGTTGCATTTTCTGTTTAAAACTCTGATTTCCTGAATATCTCCAGCTCTTTCTGAATGTACACCCACTGACCACTGGACATTAGGAGCAGGTCCCTTTGAGCCTGAACAGCAATTCACAGATTTAAACAAGAGATTGATGGAAATGAAAGATTTATTATAATATTACTTGCTATAACCAGCACTGGCTCACCATGATCGCAAACACTTTGAGGGTTCCTGCCACCTGGTGGACGAATGCACTACATGTTTTCTAAGTGGAAACATAATATGAACACAACTATAGAGCCTTCTTCACATATCTATACTTTTTATGATGCCATGTAGATATGTTTGCATCTTTACATAGATGGAGATGCCTTACATTGTGCTACCTGTAAGCAAGGAACCCTCTTGGTCTTGTAGACGTTTACTTGAGTGCAGACAGTTTTAATAATAAAGGACTTAGGCACATGAGTAATTTTCCTAATGTTTCTGGAGTTAGCTCTTGTAGCTTGTCTGGATTGCTTGTGCATCAAACTCACTGGTTTCTTTCCACTGTGAGGACATGAGAACAGAATCACTGCACCCGATCAATAGCTTTGCTCTCAAAGTGCAGAGCCCTAAAATCTGAGCTCTAATTTGTCGAGAAATAACTGGCATCAACTAGCTACTTAATGTGATAAATATGTGAATCAATAAATTCAAGATATGCAGCCACTAACCAGACACCACAAAGACTGAATGATGAGATCTTCAGCATTAATGGCAAAAAATACCTTAATGCACATAAAGCAAGCAATAACAAACTAGTAATGGTACAGGATTGATGTACAATTGCAATCATGCATGGGGGAATGCCTTAGTATATTAAGGGGCCTGTCTGCTGAAAACCAGCATGTAAAAAAGCAGCGGTAACTGTGGAGAGAGCAAGGATAAAAAAATAGAGAAAAAAAAGACAGAAATCACTGAGAACTGAGGGGAAATATAGTTAATGGAAAAGAGAGGAATAAAAAATGAGGAAAAGATGTTTTTTTTTATGTCTGCCAGGATTTTAATGTCAAATTTAAGCCTGATTCATATTTTACTGACATTTTAGATGTTTTCTGGATCCAGCAACAACAGAAGCATCACCTTTGATAATCATTGTTAGGGAAGTGGTGCTTATCTTCTGTAAGGTGGAAATCTTTCAGTGTGAGTGATGACAAAACTCTTTAGTTTTCACTTTTTAGATAAAATACCATACAGCAGATATGTTAATACATTGATGGTTAAA